CTCCTCGGTGTTTTGTGTTACCGAATTTTTTTTTAGTAATTGTGTTGTTGCTTGTTCTATGACTCGAAGCCTATCGCTTGCACTGTTTAGCGCACCTGTGCGTGCATGATAAATAAATAAATAAGTAAATAAGGGTCGGAGTTGTAGTGTAAAAAGTGTCGTGATGACTGAAGCGTGATACTTTGCTTACTGCTCGAATGGGCTAGAGGGTTTCACGACCGTACTATGATTAAAGGCATAGAGCCGGGTAAAAGTAGGTCTCACGAAGTATGACCATCGAAAAAGCTATGCCCAGAGTTTTGCGCTACTCACAAGTGAGAGAGGGAATTGGGAGCCTCGGACTCCGTCGACGATCGAGGAGACGACCGCCTACTTGATAGCCGAATGGTATGAGGTTCATCAAGTCCCTCGAGCAAAGAGAACCCATTGGACAACTCTAGCACGTTGTAGGGAGAAAAAGGGACGTTTTTGGCGCTTGCTCGAGGAACTCGATAATCAGTGGGAGTACAAGTGACAAGTGGTGCTAAGGCAATGATTGTGGTTTTACACAGAAATCCATTCAGGGTTTAGTCCGCTTCCTGCATTCTTTCAGAACCGTAGCAACCTCGGAATGTGACAGAATGACATGCAGGGCCATTCGATGTACAGAGTCGAGGCTTTTCTCCTGCCTATTTGCAAGGAACTCCACATCACTTTCCCCATCGACAACCAGTAATTTCGTCCGTTTTTTTTCTTGATCCCTCCACAACAAGGAGTAGGTGCCAAATACACCATACGAAACGGCGCAGACAGAAAAATGTATGACCTCATGTGTCTCACGCAGTCCAGATTGAGTTGGTACCACTGGAGGTTGGTTGGATGGACGGAAAAAACGGAATTCGAGTGGACAGTTTCACCTCCGGACCACATGAATTTTCAGCTAACCGAGTCCGTCCGTGCATGCATTTTCAAGTCGCACAAGTGGTAGCCTTCTATAGCTACGCACTCGGTCAGATCGGTCATGGATAAGATTAACCTCAAGGTGAGGGAACAACTTCCCTAATATGAACTTTTGAAACACCACAGTCACGTCTTCTTCAATTTTTATTTGCCTCAACAAAACTTGGAGACACGAACTCACCAGCAAATATAATATGACTCATGGCTCACAATCAGATGTGATGAACGATACAAATAAAAGAATTAAAACTAATGCCATATACATACTGAAATCAGCTAGAAGTGGGGGAAGGGTGGGGACGGGATGGGGGCGGGATACGGGGCGGGATCAAATGAGTAGGTCATTCACACACACTCACAACACACACAAACATCTCAACATCCTGTGTCTCATACTCATACACGCATTTTTTTTTTGTAAAAGAACAGACCACGAAAAGTAGAACAATTGAGCACACTACGCAAAAATATCAATCAATAACAGTAACAAACTTGATATAACAACTGTACGCTTTTCTCACAGGGGAAATAACAACGAAATAGCGAACTCGTCCGCTTTTGAGAGCAACCATGAACAAATTTCGCGCGCTATCAAACGAAACACGTACAAAACCGTACTTTGAACAGAACTTTGTATTTAACAAATAAAAAGAGGCGAATTCGCGCATTTTTGGCAATCAAAAGCTCTCAAACCCGTCGACGAGATGGGGCACAATACTCACATAACTTTATATCACCGCTTACACACGCACTTTTCTGGAAGCATCCATAACTACGTAGCTGATTACTGGTTTTTACAGTAGTCTTAAAACAAAAATTGTGTCACTTCCCGTAAAACAGCATTGATATTTGCCAGGTTGATTGGGACACAATTTTCGGGGAATTTTGCGGAGCAGAATCAACTATGCAACATGACTTCTTTTAAGACAGAAGTAGATATCACAGAAAAAACACTTCTTTACACTTATAAAGAGGATATTTCTACAATATGATTATTGGTGACTACATCTACATAGCTCGATGATGAAACGAAAAAAATAAAACTCTGCAGCTCATTCTTCCTCTCAGTGCCTTCTCACAATTTCCCGGGGTCAAATGAGGGCCATCTTTTCTACACGAAAAGCCGATTGTTTTCCATCATTCTCTTCAACAATCGGATCCTCGTTACAGGGACTGCATGGTTTCAGTACAATGGGGGTTCACCTATTCATAGAAACCAAGCCTGAGGGGCATAAAGGGGAAATGGCATTCATAGGGGAAGGAAAATCCTCAATTAAATGACCATCCTTTCGCAGGTTGTTGCACAACACCACCTTCTTGACCGGTCGCAATGTCATCATCGCTATTCGAACTGAAAAAAAAATTTTTCGAGTAACTTACGGTAATCAGGGAAAGCAAGGGGACAACTGAATATTTTACTCACTTGAAATATGTGTCAATGATCTCATAGGTGAGCTTGTAGATCTCCTCGTTGTCATGATTTTGCAGCTGTTCAATTTTATCGAGACCTAAAAAAACCAAATGTCAAATATTAATCAAAATCAAGTTTAAAAAAAAGACAAAATGGAATCTTTATCGAATGAAAAGCTCACCCCCACACTCTTCGATCTGAGTGCAAATCGCCTCAACACCTGCGCCTGCCATCTTCAAGATGTTGTTGATACCATCCAAAACAACCTTAACAATACTAGTAAACAGTAAGTAAACTTCAACTACACGTGCATAGACAGTGAAACCTTCAGAAAAAGTGAGACAGACGGTTTTTACAAAACTTTTCAGGAATCTGTCAGCTAGAAGTTCGTAAATAAAGCAGAAGAAACAGAAACACTACGAGCAGAAACTAATTTTACCCCATGAAACTCGGTCAGGAAACATGACTCCAGGAATTATTAGCTATAGATGATGGGCGTGGCCAGCGGGATAGTTGCGGCGCAGGGCCAAACCCGTTCATTTATCGAATCGGGCAAGCCACATGTACCACTTCGTTCTATCAGTCGTTTTCCACCGATTTTCGTAGCTCATCTGCTTCAACAACTGGTGGAAAACGGGTTTGCCGTCGCGCCAAACCCATTAGCAGGCCACGCCCCATCATGCGAACAAGACTGTAATCATGCTTGAAAATGCACCGACTTAAAACCATATATACCATTTTCACTTTAAATCGGACACTTTTCAAACCAAATCGGACACTTTTCAAACCAAATCGGACACTTTTCAAACCAAATCGGACACTTTTCAAACCAAATCGGACACTTTTCAAATCAAATCGGACACACCCCTTACAATTAGGTGGTTGATAACTAGACCACACTAGGTACTGTTGCAAGCCCCGCCCCATTATCCCCGCCCACTTCTCAGCGCGGACAGGGTTTTCCGAGATGCTTCATGAAATCTGCTCCTCGACTTTTTTCGTTTTTGCCCTTTGCACACACACTTCAACTGAAAAAGATTGATACCTATCCTCAGA